GGACTTGAGCAGATCATCAAGTCCAACCCCCCGCATGTTGCTATGCTATGGTGGCCCCTAGCACTTGTTTTATTGCTTGAATGCTCAGTAGATGCTAGTGTTTTTAGTGCAGTTAACATCCTGGAATGCAAAACTCTAGAACTCTTGGTTCGTAGATACTTTTTATTAGACCACCACATAAATTGCAAAATAAATAAATAAAATAGTTTTTTGCAAGCTCTCAGGTACATGCGCCCTTCCTCCGGCTCAAGGAAAATTAAAGATGGTAAAAAGTCCCCATACATAGAAAATAAACTTCATCTTTGCACAGAGGAAGCTGAAGGTGGAGGTCTGTTCCTCTGGGTCCATGAGAGTGTCTTTGTAAGTTGCTCCTTGATGTGCAGAGAAGGCAGGATTTCTTCCCTGGTGAAATCAGGTGGCAAAAAGGCAAGGAGGTATAGAAATCTTTCTGGCTGTTCAGCAATGAAGATTTAGCCAATTTTGGATTTAAATTCGGCATCTTCCACGTTTCAGGCATGTATTTGGTAGCAAAGGAGGACCTCAGAAGTTTTGAATCTAAGATGCCACAGTAGGGAAATAATACGGTCTATTCTAGCAAACTTTCTACCATACAAACTTTTGTGGCAATTGTTTATAGATTCCACCACTTCCATAAGTATTATTTATTTTTTCAGTGGCCAGTAGGTCTCCCCTGCCTCCCACCGCCAGGCTCAGCTCCGTGGTGGTGGTGGAGTTGCTTGGCATGCAGGCAGCTGGAGGAGGCAGAGAGCCAGGGCTGCATTACAAGCAGCTCCGCCAGCCCCACAGAGCTCAGCCCAGCAGTGGGAGGTGGAGCGCAGCCCTGGCTCTCCCCTCCCTCCTGCCACTGGGCTGAGCTCTGTGGGGCTGGCAGAGCTGGTCAGAGCACAGCCCTGGCTCCCCCACCCCTGGTCTCCTGCTACCAGGCTGTGCTCTGGGCAGCACTGCCAGCCCCACAGAGCTCAGCCCAGTGGTGGGAGGCAGGGGAGAGTCAGGGTTACACTCCAACTCATAACTGGAAGCCTCAACTCATAACTACTAACACAGAGGAAGGAAGGAGTAGATACAAGCACTCACAAAATGTACATGCCTAGTTCAGAGCTCTAAAAACCAAAGCTCAAGTGCAGTGTAGACGCACATAACAGTGGAAGTTTGTGTCCAGGCAAATTAGCCGTCTCAATTCCTTAAGTCCTTCTGGGAGTCGCTGCTTTGTGACTATAATACTTTACTCTATAGACCTGGCCTGCAGTACAGATGTGGATGATGCCCTGAATTCAGGCCTCATGTGCTTTAGTAAAATCCAAGACACTTTTGTGTAAATAGCATATGCCTGCCTGAAGTTTCCCCTTGTCATATCTAGCGTGCAATATACAGGTTTCCCTCGCTTTATGTTGTACACGCATTCCTGGAAAATAGCGCATAACTCAAATTTGCATAAAGGGAACCCACTTTACAATGTAACTAATAGGGATACGTTCCAAGACCTCAACTGTACTGATCCCCAGACCCATTTCTACCACTTTTACAAGACAATTTTGGTACTCACCAACAGCAGACAGTACACACAAGCACAGGGTGGTGGTGAAAGTTACCATAATGGGGATGGCAACTAAAGAAACACGTGTCACAGACAATGAGCGAGGAGCACAGATCCACACAGAAGACTATATGTTGATGTGCGTCACTCCCATAATGCACTGCATAAAGCAGCTGACTGTGGGCTTCCAGCACACCAATCGCATAAGAATGAATTTACCTTGCATATAATAAAATTTTGGTATAAAAAGGGGCATTGCTTAAGAATGAATTCGCACATACAGAACCTGCATAAAGCAAGGGAGACCTGCACTAGCTGTATTTCAGTTGTGCTCAAAACACAAAGCCAGATTAGAATGGGGGGCAGCATCCTGATCCAGGGAGTAAGGAAGGCAGATGTGCCACCCCCTTGCCTCCTTGCATCCAATGTCCTTCCAGCAATGTGAAGTCAGCTACACATACCCATTAGGTCCCGACTTTCCACAAGAGACGGAGACTCAATTCCATCTCTCTCAGCATCCCAAGCTGTACAATTGCAGCAGCATGCTGAGGACACATACTGTGGGACAGATATAGACTAGTTGCTGTTCATTTGTTCCTTGGAAAGATGCAAGCAGCAGGAGACGTATGAGCTGCCTGACTTTTATGCTGTGTTGGGGGCAGTGCAACAGCGACGTTGCTTATTAAGGCTGGATTGGAAACTGTCTAGCTCATGGGTGCCAACTAATGAATATTGTTAATTAATATTAAATTAATACAGCCACCTCTCCCTGTTGCCAAACTCCCAAGCCTTATGTGGAAGACTGGGACCAGGCCAAGTCCCCTTCCTCCCCTTCCCCCTGGCTGAAGCCAGGCTAAGCCCCTTTCCATTAGGTGGCTGGATCAGGGCTGGATTAGGGACTGCCTGCTCCACAGGAGGCCATGCCTGCCCAAGGTGCCAGATGGGGACCACCAGCAGGATCCAGTGAGCATGGCTATCCAGCCTGTTGAACACTATTGGTCCGGCCCAACTTCATGAAGGATTTCAGAAGCAGGAGCAGGTGTCTAAGCATTGCATGAACCATCCCCGACTTTCTTCTGCCGTTCCCAAGCAGGGGGAGTGCAGACGCCTTCATGCCTCTTCTCTTGGCTCCAGCACCAAACAGATTGCGAGCTCTGTCATGACTCCATCTCTTCCGACCCTTCTGGGTCGTGCAGACGACAACCCTAAACAAACAGAGAAACAAACACCTTAATCAGACATCCTCCGGCCCGCGGCACCCAGACCCTGTGCTACCTCTAGACCAGCATCCCTGTCCCTGCAATGTAAAGCAGCAGGGCCGCCATCTCCATTTGAATCTATCACGGGAGCTTTCTACCCCTGCCACGGCAACGCAAACGACTTGACATCAGGAAGGCGACAACTGCGTTGTACAAACCCACCAGCCAACTGCATCCACCTGATCCCGTGTCAAATTTGGACGAGGAATGAAATTCCTTTGAACATATTAAATGCACAAATTAAAATTCACAGGAATGATTTTGACGTTCACGTTAATGGTAACGATCCCACATTTCTTTTGAGAAATGCCTGATCTGTTATC